GCTGTGACTCATGTTTGCATTCAGCTGTGGTGACTACCTGGCCCTTTACAAGAGCCAATGACCTTGTGTGCCTCCAGGTGGGCAGATGACACCGCAGCCTTGCACTGTGGGGCTTGGCGTCTCACTAAGTTCATTCATTCGCCCACTTACTCACTGGTATGAGGGGAAGGGGTGCAAAATCAGATTCAACCTCGGTGTTCATGGGCCTTACTCAAGAGTGAGGAGACAGAAGTTAACCAGTGTCACAAATGGACGATCATGAAAGATAAGGACCATGAAGGAGAAGAACGTGGGACTTCAAGAGCATTGTGAGTAACGGAGAAGCCCGACCTGGTCAAAGAGGTGAGGAAGAGTTTCCCTGGGGAAGTGTCATTTTGCTGAGCTCTGAAGGCCGAGCAGGACTTTACAGTGTGTCATGTGGCCCCACAAGGTGGGGAGGGAAGGGTGAGGAGCGTCCCTGGCAGTGGCAGAACGTCGTGGTACAGGGGACACCGCCAATGTCGGTGTCAGGAGCTGTCAGGAGACCAATGTCCCTGGAGCACAGAGGGCGGAGGGAGCAGTCCCAGGCTCTAGATCTTTGCCTTCATTCTAAGCCAGGAGAAGATGCTTAGGGGAGGTCTGACGTGGTCAGATTTGTGTTTTGAAAAAGGTCACTCCGGCTGCAAAGTGGAGAATGGATAATATGGGAGCAGGAGTGGAATGAGAAGACAAAAATCATCTGCTCACCTCCCTAAAGCATAGGGTTTGCTGCCCATCATCAAATTTTGGGTGTCAGGAGGTTGAACATACTTATTTTTGTACTTACACAAAAATTAAACTCCACAGAGAGGGCGGGGAAAAGTCACTTAAAGGAAACACTTACATATTGCACTTCTGTCTAGATCACTGAAAAATCTCCTTCTTTAACCTTCTCTGTCCACCAGACCCTGCTTTTAGGGGGATTTTCAGAACAATTTCATAGTATACAAAGAGCGCTGGGCTAGGAGTTTGGAGACCTGAATTCCCATCTTGGCCTCTCCTCCAAGTCAATTTCCCTGGCTAGTTAGCTTTCTTACAATGGCTTTTGAAGATGAAATAAGATGATAGAGGAAAAAGAGCAAACAAACACAAGGGCTCAGAGCATGCTGTTCCTTTCATGAAGGACATTATTTAAGTAGCGTTTAATACATTTTAAATACAGTTTATATATGATTTGGTCAATAAATATTAAACTATATATTGTTCTTCTGAAGCTCTCACATAAGGACGAGAGGATCTGGAGTTTGCTGTTTTATTTAACCTTGAAAGTTCACATTTAGCATCAGGAGGAAGAATGACATTGGTGAGGATGGACATGATGGAGTTCTCTTTTCTGTTTCTTCTTCTCAGCGAGTCCCCTGAAAGATGAGGACTCTCATCTTATTAGCAGGACCTGCTACTGTAAGTTACCTACCCCTTTCTTCTTGTGAAAGGTAAGCTGATACCTGGGGTTTTTGAGGGCAGAGCTCCTTTCAACTGTGAACACATTTATGTATGAAGAGTCTTCTGCCTTGATTTTGTGGGTTAGGGAGTATGGTCATCCTAGGTCTCTAAAACCCTTCATACAGATGATAAAGCCAGTTCAAAGCAGTCCTGTGTCCAGGAGAGCAGAAGGAGGATATTCCTCCTCATCGGTTTCCTGTGCATTCATTCTCTGCCTTAGGGAGTTTTGAGTAACATTTTCACACTTACACAAGTGCAAAGGAGCTTCATTTCCACAAGATGACAGAGAGTCTACAAAGGCCATCATGGAACTAGCCTCTTACTCTCAGCTAGGAAAAATAAGTGCTTGACGAACATGCTATCTCAACCTATCTTTGTTCTAAGAATCAGCCCGGACAACACAGGCTTGAGAGGGAGAATTCACTTAATTAGATTTTTTTTTTTTTTAAGATTTTATTTATTTATTTGACAGAGAGAGACACAGCGAGAGAGGGAACACAAGCAGGGGGAGTGGGAGAGGGAGAAGTAGGCTTCCCGCAGAGCAGGGAGCCTGATGCAGGGCTCGATCCCAGGACCCCAGGATCACGACCTGAGCCAAAGGCAGATGCTTAACAACTGAGCCACCTAGGCACCCCACTTAATTGGATTTAAAAAGAAACACTGCTTGAGTCCTTTATGGTTCTATCCCCATTCTTCAGCACCAGCTTCTTTCTGCCTCTCCTAGTGATAATTAAACATGAGAAGTTGGCTGTATGATCTCAGGCAATAGCTTTTAAAGAGGGTCTGGATTTAAAGAAAGGCACCAGTCCTGTTGGGGCTTTTGAAAGAGAGCTAAGTGTCTCATGTCTGGTGCCTCCTCATGTCACCTGGGGTTGGTAGATGGCATTCGGAAGGAACAAATAGCCAACTGGTTGGCCAGTTCTGTTGGGATGCCTTTAATTTCAGCCTTCTTTCTGAATGGGCTACCATGTAATGCTTTTATTTTCTTAATTCTTTTATGTCGCTGGAGGGAAGTTATTCACAATGTACCAAGAATTATTTTAATCAGACTACCCTCATTATTAAGCCTCTACTTTACCTGCCCAGAAAAGGGCCACATGGGTCAAGGGGAGTAAGGGAGATTAGACTTCAATCCAGATCACCCCAGTGATGTCCAGTGTTGGTTGGAAGTTTGATTGGCTTTGCCTTCATTGTTCGGTAAATGCTCCTTTGCAGCTGGGACTGTTACAAAGGCCATTCCCAGAAAGAGGAGGACTGGTCTTTCAGTTAAGGCTGTGCTGCAAGCCATGGAATCTCCTTATTAGAAGTCCTTCTTCATGTGCTGAGATCAAATTCTATATAATGGCTACCCATTTAATACCCAGGCAGTGGGGATTTGGCAATAGAAAACGCACAGTCCATGCTCTGAAAACCTCTTAAAATTATCCTGTGCTACATACAGATCGATACTTTTTTTCACTTACAAAGCCCTTTGCCATACCTTCTCTCATTTAATTCTCAAACCATTAAGAAAGCCAGATAGGGGTTATTATTTTCATTTTCAACAGAGACCTTTCGGGACTTGCTCAGTGTCGCACAGTTGGGATTGGAACCCAAGGCCTTCGTCTCTACAACGCCCAGTGTGCTCTCCACGCCACCCAGATGTCATAAATGGGTTGGGCTTTCCCAAACTGGCCGTGAGTTTATCACGTATACCCTGCAGTCGTGGCCGCAGGAAGGCACCATGCTTCTCAGCAAAGCTGACAGCACAAGACTGCATCTGCGTTTTTCTGGTGAGAACCCTTGGTAAAAATTGCTGCCGGTGGTGATATAATCCTATTCTATACATTAATTGCCTTTGGCTTTTTAAAAAAATTTATGGTGGCCTGTTGCACCACTTATACCTAAACCAGCAGCCAGACACGTCTTATTCCCCTCCCCCCTGACACGGTGACTGAGGCCATCGGAAGTGAAAGGGGAGGCCTGGGATCAGAGAGGCGAGAGATCATGAGGAACACAAAGCCTTCACCAGAGACTCCAAACCCAAATGTGAAGGCTGGCAGGTGAAGCCAGCAGGAGACACTCGCGTGGGGGCGGAGGGCGCTGGAGAATGTGTGCTCCTTCTCAAAGGGCATCTGGTGCCCAGCATCAGCTGACGGCTGTCATGCCTCAAATCAAGCCCAAGGTTGTCCGATCTTGAGGTGTTTTTCCAAGAGAATCTGGAAATCTAGACTCTGATGCAAATTCTTCTGATTGGATTGTTAAATATTAATGGCCGATTCAAACAAACATTGTTAAGCCTAGGTAGGGTCAAAAACAAACAAATCAATCCTGTGATTCTCTTTTGCAACCTCTTCTCTTTATATCTGCAAGTAAATAATTTTTAGAAGAAATGCACCAGGACATAAAGATGTGGTTAGAAGTGTTTTTATTACCAGCGGTGTCCTGTTATCTTTTCCACACTTGTGAGAAAGACAGGTTCCCGGAGCCAGGGTGTAAACAGAGCTTGGAAGTTACCACTTTTAGGCAAGATCTGTTTGAATACCCACTTTTCTACTTTTGAACAACAATTTTTGCCTTTCCCCATGTCTATCATCTGTTGGATGAGGCCCTCATGCAAAGGTTCCCCATGGCACCCACAGACAGCAGGCTGGGGCAAGGGTTATGTATAGACCCCTGCTCAGTAGCTAACACCACATCTTTCCTTCCCATCCAAGAAAGCATAGGGGGTTCTAAATAAGTGAGAATGCTGGGAGGGGCCTTCCACTGGCCTTAATTAATTTTTTAAAAAGTAAATTCATCACAGACAGTATCCTATCATTGGTAATGGTTCATGTGTGACACAGTTCACAAATTTCAGGACAACATGGTTAAGAGATGTTTCAAAACATAAAAATAAGTAGGATATATTGCTAAGCTTCTCAGTAGATCAGCACTCTCTATCTCCGGTATTCTCAGCCAAGGCATGGTTGATTGGGTTGCCCCCAGCACATTCACCGTTACGGTATCTGTTACAAGGGCCTTGGAAATGTCACCAGAGACACTTGGACTCTTGAGGAAAGATAAAAGAGATAAAAGACCATGTTCTCCAAAGCAATCAGTGAGTCTGCACCCAAACATTCTCACCTCCCTAACTGGCAACAGGGAGTCCGCACTTGAACTACTATTTGGATAATGTGAAGTCAAGTCTTGCCCACCAGCATAAACCAAGAAATAAAGCACTTCCGTGCTGTTCGTTCATGTTCTTTGCTCCATGAATTGATGGAGAAGCTGAACACTAGAGCTTTCCCTGTTACCTGCTAATTTAGAACGATCTGTTTCCTTTCCACTGCATTAGAAAATGAAAATTCAAGAGGTGAAAATAGAAACCAGATTCAAGAAAGAGGAGTGAGACAAAGAGGTACCTGGCAATCTGATACAGTACGCCTCTTGGGGGAAAGGTGTCTGGATCTCAAAGGCGGACTATCACAAAATGAGAGCAGAAGCAAGTCTATTTTTTGCCTAGGTCGCCACAGGGAACCAGTCTAACCTATTTACAAGTGGTCTCAGGAGAACTCTCTTTAAATAGATATCTTGTCACCATCCTTTTCGTCATCTTCCATGATCACTTTGGGTCTCTCGTCCCTGAGCAGTGTCACACCTGCAAAACAAAGCAACGATCTGCAATTAAGTGCCTCTAATGAAAATATTAGACAACCTTACAGTGTAGACATGGCACACAGGAGCATGGCAACCCAGACACCTCTTAGCATCTGCAAAGCTAAGTGTTAAAGGTGCCGCTAGAGTCAGGACGCTGGGTGCCTTATTTGGCCTGCCCAGAGGAGCTGTGACTCAATGAGGCACCGCGCTGGTGACCAGGAGACACTCGACCTGGGAGTCAGAGGCAATGTTGACCTCCTGGTCTATGGTCTGCATTTAAGTTAGCAGCACAGGAAGACAAAAAGCAAACAGGTTTTGGAATCCACTTGCTTTGGACCTCTCATTCTGCCACTCGCTCAGTCTGTGTTGGGCTAGTTAACACTTTCACACCTGAATTTTCTTGGATATAAAAGGCATGCACTGATACTTATGTAAAGGGTTATTGTGCCAGTTGAACAAGAAACACAGGCTCACACCTGTGAGCCCCGTGTCCGCTTCTCCTTTCACACGTGCTAATTCGGTTCCCCTTTGAAAAGAATGGGTCAGCAGCATGAAGCCAAAGTTAAATACATTTTTCTAACATCTGGGGAAAAGACTGAGCTGAGGCTCTGAACATGCCATTTCTAAATGTCAGGACTGGTGGATGATAAAGTTTACGTGGTTCAGAGCAAAAGGAGAAATTCAAGAAAGTGTAGTGAGTGCTCATTAAGTTCTGTGGCTACAATTTTAAAAAGTTGCTCTTTATTTTTATTTGATTTTCTTTTTGGGAGGATGAAAATATCCTTTCTTTTTGGGAATTTTAGGAGCATCAGATGTTTGGTGTTTTAGCAGCCTTACTAGGCAAAATTCAAAACTATCCCTATGTTGGGTTCCAATATATTTTGTGTTTTAAAAGTTTACTGGCCATTGAAATTCAGAAGCCTGAGCACAATTTTCTGGACTGATCAGCCCAGTTAAGACCATCCAAGGAGGGCTGGGTGGTTCTGCTCATCCTGTAAATTGTGAAGTAGGGTCATTTTAATAAAAAGACAAAGGAAGCTGTGATTCAAGGCGAGTCCTCCATGATTTTTGTCATCCACTCCAGCCAACCACCACTGCCTTGCATCTTCCCCACCTTCTCATAATTAGAGACTTTTCAGTTCATTAAGCATTTCATAAAGATCTAAACATGAGGGTAGAAAGCTGTGCACCACAAGAGGCCTTTCTACAACACTGGACTCCATTCAACAGCGGCAAATTAATGAAAACTATGTGTTGATCTTAATGACTATTCATTTGATTCAGTTCCTAGTTTGTTCATATGGGTTCTTTACCAATTAGCTGATATTTATTGGAGGAGAAAAACAATTTCTAGAGTCTGGTTGAAACTGAGGATTTTGCATAAATCACTTCTGAAACACAGTGGGTGATATTTTCTCTTCTACCAGCTGCAAGGAGGTTTAGATTTTTATTTGGAACTAAGGCTATCATGGTAGAAGAACAGAGAGTTAACTATGCTAAGCCCCCAAACTTTCTGTCCTGATTTCCTTGATATCTTTTCACATTAAGCCAAATTTGAGTTGATTCAAAGTGGGCAAGAGTGTTTAAATTCCCAGATCCCAGTTAAATTTCTGATTACTTGGGGTATCCTTGAAACTAGTCAGATGAGCATCTGGGCCAAAAAAAAAAAAAAAAAAAAGTCCTGGGATTTCAGGGAAGGGAGGAGCCTGTTTAGCCATCAAGGTCAGCCCTTTCCAAAGTAGGCTAGGCTTTCCAGAGGGACACGGGAGGTAATTTCAAGTGGAAAGTGAACTAGCATTTGTATTAGTATAGTTAAGCATTATTTTTAGTGTCTTATAATGAAAAATACATATGGTAGCTCATGAAAATCTTGATTTCATGGCTGTCACTGTTTAGGGTGAAGCTGAAATCAGTAGCTTCTGTGTCATCAATACATTTTTATTCTTGATGCTTCAGATCTTCGACTTTGTTCCTTTGAAGATGAATGAGGTTTGATAAACACGGATCTGTGGTTTAACCTAGTCCCGATCCTCTGTTCTCCTGTGGGAAGCAGAGGTGTGTCATTGAAGGAATGTACTCTAGAGCCTGGAACCTTTGCCTTCTTTGGTGGTCATTTAAATTTGAGCAAGTCACTTAACCTGTCTGAGCCTTGGTGTATTCATCTAAGAAACTGGAGAAAAAATAAATCCTATCTCCTTCAAGGGGTGACGCTGCCAGGTAAATGTAGACCAACATTCTTTGATGCTTCAGGCACACTTTTACATGAACCTTCATTAAAGCACATTTCACGTTGTAGGAATCATTGGAAAATACATCTATCCCCCCCCCCAAAACTTGAGGGTCTTAAAGGATATTCTAGCATCTAGTACAGGGCTTGGGGTACAGTAGGGATTTAGAAAATGTCAGTTCCTACCCTCCTACTCTCTGTGGAGGAGAGTTGATGGAACTTGGCTGCTTGTTAGAACGTGGTATTTTTTTTAAGGCCAAAGCTGTCAGTCCCAGGTCTCTAAGGGTCAACCAATTAGCCTTGTAACAAGCTATTTTAGGCCATGATCCCATTCAGAGCTGGTTACCTGCATGACAGATGTATGGGAGCTGGGGCTAAGATACCTCCTGTCCTGGCAAGCCACACCAGAGAGAACACTCTATTCCCAGCAGGACAGAAGAGGTGTCACGTTCAAAGGACGCAACAGTCCCATTTCTCCAAGTACATTATTGAGCTTTGATCTCCAAATATTCATAGCTCATGGGCCAATTTTCCAAGAGGCATCTCTTCAATGCTCCCGGCCTCATGATTTTTACTTTCTCTGGTTCCCATTGCCACAGACCTTCACTAAAGACTTCTTTTTCTTTTAAGCAGGTCTTGGCTACTCAGATCTTACTAATCACAACCCAGTGCACCCTGCCATGTAGTCACCAAGATGGGTGGCCCTGGCAAATGTGGGCCAAGTTGGGAGCAAACCTTGGGTTGGCAAGGAAACCGGAGATGATTCCTCACTGAGGAGTTGCCTGGCAGTTGGAACCTGTCAGATAAGCTCATTAACCTAGGGGAATGAAGGTAGTTAGCAAGAGATTTAGAAGAGAGAGATAATCCTTGTCCAGTCTTCAGTTGCCAAGGGCTAATGAGAGGAGATGTCTCCAGAGTGCATTTGTCTGTGAGTTCCTCTCAACACCCTTATTAGAACCAGTATGAGTCTCTCTGAACATCTGCCAAAGGCTCTATCTATCCTTATCAGCTTAACTAGCATTCTGACTACTGCCAAATCTTTAGATACTAAAAGGCTCTTCAAAAATAAAGTGCTTCAGCTAATATGCTAATAAAAGCTAGAATCATAGAACACCATCTATAATTGCAAATGCAACACAGAGATTTGCTGATTCAAGGAATTCCATAATATGTATAGAGTCCATGAATATACAGCCTCCCTCTCCAGCTCTGTGTATTTCGCCCTGTTTGAGAAACATTTTTTTTTATTCAACTAGGAACCTGCTCTCCTAAGATGTGGATATTGGGATGCAGGCAGCAACCATTGCCAGAGAAACAGGGCTCAACATTTTAGGAAGTCCCTTGAATCAGTAGGTTTATATGGAAAGATAAAACACTGAGGCTAGGAAAATTCTCACCTTGAGAAACGGTTTAAGTAATCTCAAAAAATATCAGGTTGAAGGGAATGGAGAGGAACTGACATTTATTGAGGACTTTCAAAACACCAGGATCTGTGCTACGTGCTTTATGTGCTTTATTTAATTATGTTAACAATCCTGGGAGACAGATTTTATGGTCCTGCTTTCAGAGATGGATGGAATGAAGGAGGCTCTTTTGTTTGTACTAGATGCCCAGGGTCACAAAGCTAGAATGATCAGAACCAGATATCAAACTTAGACCTTTCTGACTGCAAAGCCCATGTTCAGTGCTGTGTGCTAAGGTGACTCTCTGCTCATAAATATTTTTGTTCCTCTACCAAGTCTTTCCCTAAGAGAACTTCAATAAAAAACAAATATAAGAATGGGTAAAAAATAGAGTCTCCTAATGGAGAATTTGGAATTGCAGAATTGTGATTTCCAAATAGAATATCAAATCAACAGATACTTACTGAGTATTGCTATATAAAAAGGACTGGACTAGATATCAAGGTCAATACCAGCACAGTTCTCATGAATTCATCAACTGTAAGTCAATGTTAAGAACAGCTACAATAATGGCAGCAAGAGCCATAAAGACCATACTGAAAGAGATGACAAAGTCTTGGTATTTGCATGCCCGTGTCTACTACAGAGTTAGTTCAGAATAGAAAAGATTCATTTTGGACTTGGAGGAGTCTGTTAGCAGAGACTCTGAGCTAGCTGAGTCTTCAAAGGTGACCGGAACCAGGACAGAGGCAGAAGTGCAGGAAATGTATGATGGGTTGGAGGATCAGTGCAGGTAGGAATGCATGCAGCTTATGAGAAGCATGTTTGAGGCAGTTCAGATCCAGCCAGTTGGTCTTCAGTCCATTTCTCCAGAGAAGTGCCTCCTCAGGCTCCATGCCTCCTTGCCTGGCTCTGCTCCACAGAAATCAGTAACCTTGTCTGTGCCCCTGACTGCCTATTCATGATGTCTTCTTCTGAGCCTTCTTTCAATTCTTTTCTTTATTAAATAAAATAATGGGGAAACATAGTTCTATAACAACAAGATCCCATCTCCCAAAGTGTCCCTTCTGGATTGCCATAGTGCCAAAACAGTGAAAAACTGCCCACAGGTGAGACAGACCTGGCCTAGAGCCCCAGCTCTGCCACATCATTGTGTTTGATCCTGAACATAATTTGGTCCATTTACCTGTCCACCTAATCATCCCATCATCAATCCAACCAATCAGCCAAGCAGCTATCCATCCATCACTGCCATCCACAGAAGACTTTAAGTTACTGAAATTATCTTTCAGTTTCTTTACCTATAAAGGGAGTTAACAGCTACCTTTCTTGTGTTATTCAGCTGATTTTAAAAAATCCATGGGACATACCAAACTCAGTACCTAATATTTAGTAGGGTCTCAAGAAACAATAGTACATTTTCTTCTCTGCCACCACCCTCCAAATATCTCTAACACACACACACACACACACACACACACACACACACTCAGTCTTATAATCTAATCATGAGTATATGTCTTATTCCCTAACCTCCACATAAAATTCTCAGGGACAAGGCTATATTTCACTATTTTGGCTACTGCATAGTCTGGGCTGTGCACAGAGTTCAGCAAGATTTTTGAGTTTGATTTGACACATATTAAGATAGCTCTCATGAAGATGATACTTTCAGGATTAAAAAAAAAGAAATCTTGCCATTTGCAATGACGTGGATGGAACTAGAGGGTATTATGCTAAGTGAAATAAGTCAATCAGAATGACAATCATCATATGATCACACTCATATGTGGAATTTAAGAAACAAAACAGAGCATCATAGGGGAAGAGAAGGAAAAATAAAACAAGACAAAATTAGAGAGGGAGATAAACCATAAGAGACTCTTAATAATAGAAAGCAAACTGAGGGTTGCTGGAGGGGAAGGGGGTGGGGTAACTGGGTGAGGGACACTAAGGAAGGCACATGATGTAATGAGCACTGGGTGTTATGTAAGACTGATGAATCATTGAACTCTACCTCTGAAACTAATAATACATTGTATGTTAATTAATTGAATTTAAATAAAAAAATAAAATAAATTAACATTTTTATTATGGGAGTTTTCATATTTTCATATATATATATAGAAAACCATATAATTAATACTTATTAACATTTTGTCATTTGTTTTATTTAATTGTCTTTATTTTTGAGTATTGTAAAGCAAATTCCCTGTAACGCTTCTTTATGTATCTCTAACACTAAAAGCTTTTTAAAACCATAACTAAAATGCCATTATCATACCTGACAAAATTAACAATAAATACTCAATTTCATCTAAGAAAAGAAATGATACTTTCAGGGATCGTTTCTGTAATTTGTTACTAAAGATCGCTCTCGCTATTTCTACATCTCTCTTTCTCTCCTTCTCTCTCTCTCTCTCATTGAAGATTTGGTCAATACAGCCAGCCAGATGTCTTGGGAGAATCAGCCATCAGTCGTAGGATGCATGATCCATGGAAGGCTGGGGAGGAGAATATGTCAACTCTTTTCAAGGACCCACTGACATTTCTATTTCATTGGCTCAGTGGATCTGACCAGTTCTGCTGAAGCACGAGGAATGCCCTGAACCTCCCCCAGCTCCCAGTCAGCCCTGAGGGAGCTGCCAGGGAAGGTAAGCCTGAAAGGCAGCAGTAAATGCTGCTCCCCCCACAGAGCGCTTCTGTGTGACACAGCTTGCTGGGCCAGGACAGAGGCCATGCCCGTGGCACCTCCAGATGGTAAGGTTCTTGACCTGGTCCCATCACCCCCTGCAAATGCCTTGCACCAGCCTTTTTACCTGCTGCAAAGGGGGACACGTGCAGGGCAGGTGTGTCTTTTCTCCTTGGTTTTTTCTGTTCCAGGTCAGTGTTATGAAGAGCTGGACTCACTTTGCCCTTTGGGTGTCTCTCTTGAATGTCATATCTTTTAAGTAATTGTTCTGAAAGGACACCTGCGTGGTTAGGGAAACAGAGGGAGAAACAGAGTCATATACATATATCCTGATACATAAGGACAATGCATGCATATTTGCACATATCCCTAGTGATGGTAGTCAGTATAGCTTTTCAAACTTATTTTAATAAAAGCTTTTTCTGTATTAGGAATTAGTATCTGTTGAGGTGACACAAAGGGTTTTGCATGCCTGATTTTATTTTAGCCTCACAAAACCCTGAGGAACTTAATATTACTGTCACTATCACCTATCTGAGGAAGGCGAGGCATGGAAAACATGGCCACAGTAACACAGCTCGTAGGGGTCCGAGCCAGGAAGCGAGCCCAGGTCTGTCCGCCTGCGGGGTCCATCCTCCTTAGAGCAGTGGATCATTTGCTGCTCTGCAAGCCACATGCTCTGCTCTTCAGGGACTTACCTGCCTTCTCACCTCTCCCACACGTGACATTTCTCTCCATCATTTACAAACTCTCTGACATCAGCCTCCTCTACACAACTTTCCACAATTCCCTGCCCAGGCTGAGCTCTCGGGGTCCTTATGGAAGGACCTCATTATGGCCTTACCACTTACTGCATATTTCAGCCATTTATGCACTTCCATTATTTCCTATAAAACTGACAGTTCCCTCTCAGGAAGCTCTGTGTTCTATTTGTTTTGTCTCCCTCCAAGTGGGTTGTGAGTGGCGAGGACACTAAATCAATGGCCCGGAGGGAAGGAGAAAAGGAAGTAAGAACAAACAAAACTTTGGGGAAGCAAGAGAGTCACACATCACACAGGAGGTTGTTATGGAGACACGGTAGCTGTTCCCCAAACCATTTTGCTTTTCTCCTGGGCACACACACCCCTGGGCGGCATCTCTCTGCCTCCCATGCAGTCAGGTGAGGTTTGTGACTGAAGGATGTGATGTGGGCCACTTTCGGGTCTGCCAGTCTTCCAGTCTATTCTGCCCCACCCCCACCACCCCTCGTTACCCCTCATCCACATGCCTGCTGGATGCTAATGCTCATGGTGACTTTGAAAGCCACGTGCTGGTGATGTCCGAACCTCCATCAGCTGGAGTCCCTGAATTACCGTTTGGAGCAGAACCTGCCTCCCCAACTCGCACTACTGATGAGTGAAAAAAACCTTGTGTTGTGCCACTAAACATTTTGGAATTTATTTGATATAGCAGCTGGCCATACTGTAATGAAGACAGGTGCAGGGAGAATACCAGTGATTTAAAAACACCCAAATATGTGAGGAAAAAGTTGTGAGACCAATGCGATCTAGTGGTAGAGGCCCCCCTTCACAGACGGGCAAACTGACCCCATTGTCCATTACCTGGTATAAAAGGTGGGATGTGCAGTGCTGGTGTATCTTTTCTCCTTGGCTTTTTTTGGTCTGACTCAACATTCTGGGCAACCTGTGCATTTTTTCCCTTTCTTGGCTTCTTTTTGAGATCACAGTCTTTAATGAACTGGTCTGAAAGGTCATCTGATGTTGATAGGATGCAAAGAAAAAAAAAGAATATAACATGAGTAAGGGTCACTCACAAACTGGTTGGTTTCCAAGTACTTGCAGAAGCCATTTGGTCTGAAAAGGAAAAGGATTTATATATTTTGGCCTAGCATACAGAAGACTTTCGTAGCCTTGCACAAATACATAGCATAAAACAGAAAACTGGGATAGTCTATAAAACTCCAAATGAAGAGAGCTCCAATGGCCAGATAATCAAAGAAAAGAAGAACTTTAAAATATAGTTAGGCAAGCCACAGAGTGGGTTTGAGTTGAATTTCTGATAGAATAGGTTTTCTTTGCTAACTGCTGTTTCTTAATTTTTGCTCAAGGCTTGCTCTCTTGAAGACTCCAGCCTTGTAATAAGGTTCTCCACAAATTCCTCACCTGCCTTCATTTCTGTGGCCAGCCAGATCGCGCTGACCATTCACACTTGCCTTCAGCATTGGCCTCTTCATCCACTTCCCCACTGGCAATCCAATTCTCCCATTTGCCCAGCCTCACTCCAGGTCCTCTTGTCCTCTTACTCAGCTCTTTACCTTCCTCAGTCTCCCGAGCTCATGAAGCTTGGATTCTACATCGTGTCCATCAGATGTCAGTGTGTGTGATGAGTCCAATCTGATCACTCCTTTCCCATGAAAATATGTTCTCTGCTCCATCTGACTCCTCAATGCTTTGGCTGATGGTGTGCTTCTTTGAGCGTCTCTGTCATTGTTCTAGACAATGACATTTGTTTATTCTATCAGGGTTTATCTCCTGCTCTTGACAGAGCCTTCTTGGAGATTAAGGATTATATCCTTTTGATAATTTTATTCTTAATTGCCTCTCCCTCCCGTAAATGCATTTTGAATGGATAAGTGGAGTGGACTGATCCAAGTTCAGTTGCTGACTCTGTCACTTGTTAGTTCTGAGAACTTGGGCCTTAATTTCTAGGAACTTTAATATTGTCTCAACTTTTAAAGTGGGGATAATTTTAAATCAGTGTGTGTGTGTGTGTGTGTGTATGACAGAGAGAGAGAGAGGGCTACATTTGCTAATGTTGGTAAAGAAGTTGTTACATTTGATATATTTTAGATCTTCAAAAGAATGTTCACTCTGGTCATTGCTCAACCCCTAACCTTCCACAAAGTCCAAAGCAAAGCCCACCTTCCTGCCCTGTCTCCATAAGTCTTTCCCAGTCCTGGGTGTCCTTTCTCATTTTCTGGATATCCACAGGATTTTTGCTCGTGTAACACATTTTCTGCATATGTCTTCTCTGCCCCCTTTGATGACAGGTATCTTGTGTTTTTATCCCCTTACAGCAATTAATAAGTATTTGTTGAATGTATGCTTGAATGAATGAACTCAAGCATGTTATGTATAAGGAGAGAGTCTATTAGGGTTCAAAGAAGCCACAGACAATGAAGCTGTCTGTCTTCTCTGGAAATTCTCTATGGCCTGGTTACAGTCTTATACATCTACAACTGTGAATGCATTTGGGGAAATTCAGAGATTAATTGGAAATGTTCGGCCCCTTCTTCTTTTCCTTCCTCCCTTCTTTCTTTTTTCCTCTGTTCCTTTTTTTTTTTTTTTTTAAGATTTTATTTATTTATTTGACAGAGAGGGAGAGCACAAGCAGGGGGAACAGCAGGAGAGGGAGAGGGAGAAGAAGGCTCCCGAAGAGCAGGGAGCCCGACTCAAGGCTGGATCCCAGGACCCTGGGATCCCCGAAGGCAGACGCTTAACCAACTGAGCAACCCAGGTGCCCCTCTCTCTGTTTCTTTTTATGTAAATATTCAGGTCAGTGTCTTTAAAACGTGGAGGATTAAATGTGTCAAACTTGTTCCCTTCAGTTTCGTGGGTCTAGACATAACCTGTGTCATTCATAATGTATTTATTCGACAAACACTGATGAAGCTCCTCCTCTATGCCAGGCCTTGGGCAAGATTCTAGGACTAAAAAGACAAATAAGAAATAGTCCTGCCTTTCAAGTTGCTATGGTCTATTGGGCTTTATGTCTGGATGGTCTTTTGTTTTAGAAAACACAATATACATGAGAAAACTACCATTAGAAATAGCTAGTGGGGCGCCTGGGTGGCTCAGTCATTAAGCGTCTGCCTTCAGCTCGGGTCATGATCCCGGAGTCCTGGGATAGAGCCCCGCATCGGGCTCCCTGCTCCGCGGGAAGCCTGCTTCTCCCTCTCCCACTCCCCCTGCTTGCGTTCCCTCTCTTGCTGTGTCTCTCTCTGTCAAATAAATAAAACCTTAGAAAAAAAAAAAGAAAGAAAGAAATAGCTAGTAACCACACATTATTATGCCTGCATCATCCAAAGATCACAGTACATAACCAAAAATCAAATAGCATCATTCCCTTCAGCCATATTTAATAGTAATAAATATTTCTTTTTACCTACAGGATTTGAATTATTCCATCCAATCATTTCAATTTAATAAACATTTATTGAGATCATACTGCATGTAAGGCACTGAACCATATGCTTTTAAGTTTACATATACAAAAAAACAGAGGTGAGAGGGAACTTTATTGAATACTTTTATATACCAGATGATTTCACATTCTTCTAGTGTATGGGAATGACCAACACCTTCTCTGATTCATCAATGCCTGTGTTTTACCAGTTGTTAAATATTCATAGCATATCCTAAACACACGATCTCATTTAGTTCTCACACTAAGCCCACAAGGAAGGTGTACAATTATCCCCAATTTGCCGATGAGGAAACAGATTTAGAAGGCCAGATGAAAGGCTAAAGGTCACATTCCTGGCAGATTATGGCATTAGGAGCAAGTTCAGGCTCTTGGGACCATGTTTCTTTTTTTCTTCTTTTTTTATTTAAAAAAATTATTTAAATTCAATTTCATATTATTCGTTTCAGGGGCAGAATTTAGTGATTCATCAGTTGCATACAACACCCAGTGTTCATTCCATCAAGGGCCCTCCTTAATGCCCATCACCCCATTATCCCATCCCCCCACCCCCTCCCCTATGTTTCTTAATGTCTAGCTGAAAATGCAATTTTAAAAATTTATTGCCACATAGCACAATTTCTCCCCATATCATACATACCATAGACATTTGCTGAATGAATAAATATTGCTCAGAATGAGTGCTGCCCAGCTGTGGGGGTCTCTGGAAGGACAGGCTGGATATGGACCAGTCATGGGTCACCATTCCAGCCCAGGATGAGACTCAGTGCACAGTACAGCAAGGCATTTGCTTCAGTTTTGACTTTTACTTCAATTGCACTTTTTCCCACTTTTGGAGAAATCCTGAACATAAATTATCTTGATGGCAAACGGGGAGAGGGGAGAGTCATAACCAGGCGAGATATAAACAAAGGCTATGAATATGCAAAAGGCCCATCCATCAAACGTCTGAGTGTCTCATTTTTAGAAATGGGTAGAGGCAGAAATGTTTCTGGTATTTTCATTACAAAGGTTATGCAAAAAGTCAGTTCTGGAAAGGAAACAGATTGACAATAAAGCAGAAAAAGGCTATTTAAAATTCTGTCTTGATAGGCAAAGAGAGGTATTTGAAATATTTTATTGGCCCTGCACATGGGGTGTAAGTGTGCTGGCAAATACTAGAAACAAGCTCTGTTGCCACATTCCACTTATTGCCTCAAAAACGCTCTGCCTGGGACTCGGTCAGACCCGAAAAAGAGGACAATGCCTCTTCTCTCTTTTTGTAACTCTAATGAACCTCTCTCCGTGCCTCCGCTAATATTTACACGGCAGACCCCACAGAGTCATGGCTATTTGCCTGTCCATCTGGTGTTGGCTGTCACCAGAAGGTACACACGATCGGGTTTCAGGGGGCCTCCCTTTGACTTGCAGAGAATGGCAGAGACCCTTCCTTTCTGACTTCCACTACTGACATTCACGCTGGGGCTTTTACCTAAGTGGTCACAACGAGGGTCTAGCTTGTCCAGTCTGTCTTCTGGGAGCTCCAATGGCTGCATTTGTTCAGTGGACATCATCGAAGGAGGTGTTTCTTGGGCAGCACTAGGGAAGCATAAGAAACAAGGCCATTAGTGTGTCCTCTGTTCATTTGTTCACTTACGAAATGAGTATATTCACTTACTATTACATTCTCAATTTAATCCTATTTTTCAAATCTGCTTCTTTTATTACCTACTAGAAGCTCTAACTTAAGATTTAAGTCAAAACAAATGAAACACACACACACACACACGGATTTATTGATAATTGCCGTGCATCAAATGTTCAATATTTATCTTCTTTCAGAAGCACTGTGGGAGTTTCAGAACGAATACTTATCAATTCTGAATTAGAAATGAGTTAGCTGAGAATTACAGAAACTCTTGATTAAATCTTGTCTGTATTTTCTGTTGAGTTCTGCAAAATAGGATTATGCCTACTTTGCAGATGAAGAAACCAAGGATCAGAAAATACAATTCATTCATTTAGTCACACAATTATTAAATAGCCAAGATCCAAATTTTTAAACAGCCTGGATCTAAATCCAGTTCTGAAGACTTCCAGTAGACACCTAAGACTCTCAGACAGTGATTCCTTTGAACGCAAATTGAACCAAGCCTCTGGTTTTCTATCATTACATGCTATATTTTATATGCATGTACACATTACATATATATAGCATGTATATATATATGCATTACATACATATAGCATGAAGTATATAATATAAAATAACTATAAAGTAATGAGATTTGTAGGAAAAAAATCTAGCTCTTGAAATGGATCCTTATTATTTTCTCCCTAGAGATTTCCGACACTAGAGCAAATCTGCTCCCTCTTCCCCCCATTTTTCCTAAACCACAAATCCATTGAACTTTCCAGAGCTATTAGCTGTAGCCATTGTCCAGGAGGAGTGGAAATCCAGAATGGACATGTGACAGGTCTGAATGAGAAATGCATTAGTTGAGACTTACAGAATCTGATTCTGTTTCTTCCTGATAATTTATTACTCATGTCCCATCATAGTAAGAATGTTTAGAGAGGAATAAGATTAAAATGACCCAAACCGATCCTCTTTTCTTGAGATTCCTGGTTCACTGGCATGCAGATGAACACAGGGACTAGTGTGTTAACATTTCAGGTTCATAGAATGAGTTCAACTCAGTCGTCTTCTGAGGAATAAGCCAGTTTTTCTCCAGGAAGGCTGGAGGGCTTCTCCCCTCCGCTCCTCCCCCACCCCCCGCCCTGCCATGAGCTGAGATCACTGCATAGCAGATGGAGCTGTTCACGGATTACTTGACCCTGGCTTTTAGTGTCACTCTGGGCAGACTGATTGTACTGAGTGACTTTAGCAGAAATCAATTCCGACCATTGTTTTAGTGTTTGTATAGAGACTGCCAGCTCCCTGGGACCATATGATGCTCACTTGGGTGGCTAGCCCCCACCTGCTTGAGCAGAGAAGGGAGTTATGGACCCTCAGTCGGGATGAGTGGGCTCAGTGCTGAGGCCTAGAGGTGAAGTGACAACCTCAAATACGGCCTGTGCACCTACTTAACGAATCTTCCTCCTCTTTGGGCAGAAAATCGTGGGCTCTGTCCTTGACTCTATGCTGGAAATCACCCCATGGAGGACCTAGTCAAGAAATATTCATTCTCCGGAAGGACAGCTGAGGCCCAAAGACATTGAGGTCACCTAGTATCAGTAACACACTCAGAATCAGAGTGATCACTCGAACCCAGGCCTCCTGCCTTCTACTCTAGGTCCCCTCTGGCAATGGTCCCCCTCTCCCTTTCTCCACCCACAGTCAGCTCTTCTTTGTACTTGGATCACATGGCCGCTCCTGTGTGCTCAATAGCGGGTTATTTAATTTGAATCTGAGTTTTCGAGTTCCAGGGGATCTAGGTAAAATCTCAGCTCTACTGAAAAAGCTGTATGACTTTGATGAAGTAGCTAAATCTTCGTGATGTAGTGAGGGTAAATGGAGCCCAAGTACGATATAATCATGTTTGCCCTTTCTTCTACAAGTGACAGCTGCTATGCTAGAATGAGCAAAGCCTAGCATCCTTGTGGTGCGGCCCGTCGATAGGCACCCAGAGACATAGGTCCCTCTCTTTTCCCCTATCCCCTTCCTAGCCTCCCTTTTCCTATCTGTAAAATAGAGATAACAGCATCTACCTCACAGAGCTACTATAAGGGTTAACTAGAACACCTCCCGGCTTTGCACATTGCGGGTACTCCATCCATGGCAGCCATTGCTCTGTAGCTGATGAAGACCAGTCACCTTCTCTTCTGAGAACAGGAACTGGGAGATCAGGGGACTGGGAAGGAACTCCACCAGACTGCAGAAGGACAGACAAGCCGGAGCAGGGGCTGCAGCTGAGGACGGGGTGGGAGGGGGAGCCAGCCTCCATCAGCACAGAGCCAGCTCCTAGTTTAGGGCAGGAATATCAGTTCCTCAGCTAAAAAACATTGGTCAGTTCAGTCTGAGGTCAGAAGTAGGTTTGGGAATTTTGTCCTTTCTCTAAATACCGAGTAAGTTCCTTAGTTGGATGTTAGAATATGAAGTTTAACTCAAGGCCACTGACTGCAAGCATTTGGTGCAATATGGGGTAGAAGCAAATGTTTGGTTACTTGTACCACTCTCTAGCTGGGTGAACTTGGGAAAGTGGCATGCCCTCCTGAAAACTTAGTTTCCACATCTGTAAAATGGGCTGATAGTGGCTCTTCTCCAGGATTGACAGTATTCACAATACAGCGTGTGTAGAGTTTCCAGCCCAGATCCCAGCACATGCTGACACTTTAAGAAGTGTAGGTTGCTTTGTTTGTTCTTCACCATCCTCCCATTGTGATTACGGCATGCATATCTTCACTGAACCATTGGAGCCATCTCCTGGCCCCATCCCTGGCCTTCTCCAAAGCTAATAATGAGATTAGAGCGATCCAAGGTACAAACCAATGGCAGGGCCCCCCCTTTCCAAGTCTGGGGGACATGGTACTACTGATTCTTAGGAGCGAACTGAAACGTGGCTTAGTCGTAATGAAATTCTAAAAAATTCTAAAGAATTTCCCCAAAGTAATCAGCTCTGGATTTACCTGATGGAATAAAAAGTTAGGTTATGTCTACAGCCCAGTGTGGTATCTGATTATGTACAATTCATATCCTTTGTCAAATCTCTTTTTAACTAGAGGATTTAATTCATTAAAAGCCTAAATTTGCAGTATTCCTCCGGAGTGACTCTTCCTTGAAGTAGGGAACGGAAAGGGTTTTTTGGTAAACACACTCGCCCCAGCCTCCCACACTGTGAGAATATGCAGATACACCAATATTCCTCTCTGGAACTTAGCAATTTAATTTGCAAGAATTCTGACTCTCACAGAATTCAAGACTCTACCTCCCTTAGAAAAAATGTCTTGAAGGTGATGCCTTTTCCTGCTCCCCACCTAGCCCCAGTTTAGCCTTGCTCCAGAAAGCACACCCCTGCACCCCCGCTCCCCCCACGGCCCCCCTCCCCGCCCTTGCTCCACCAGCTGCAGCCCTCTTTGTCCCAGCAACCATAAGGAAGCTGTAACTTATTGGAAATTTGCTTTTCTTGCCAGGAAAGTTCTTGGAGTAAAAATTGGAAACACTTACCAATGAGTGCAGGCGCTGGGATGAGGCGAGAGATGGGGAGGGCAAGCCTCCTCCCTGAAGCTGGGCCGGCTCTTCTGCTGCAGCCGCTGCTTGCTGCCCGGCTCCAGTTCCTCTTATCTAGGGACCAGCTGCCGCTGTTGCCATGGGGATGCTCCATTTCACAGGCGCCAGGGCAAGGGGGATGGAGAGGGAAAGAGGACTAATCTCACTGTCTCTGCTACCAGCTGCAATAATTGTCCATTTCAAAAACACAATACAGAGTTGTGCTTTGAGTACCTAGTGTGCAAGGCTGGAGAGATCTAGACAAGCCAGCTAGAACCACCCTACGCAGTAGGGTTTTTTGTTTTTTGTTTGTTTGTTTTTTGGCCCGACTTTGCAAATATAGAAGCTGAGGCACAGTCATATTAAGTGACTTGCCCAAAAGGTGACTCAGCTAATTTTAACCCTCAGATCTACTTGAGTGTAAATTCAAAGTACTTTCACTCACCATCCGGGCCCCTTAGAGTAGTATCAGGGTGAGAAGAATAATAGCAATCGCTGACATTTACAGAAGGCTTCCCGAAGGCTAGGCACTCTTCTTTACACGTCTGGACTCATTTCATCTTCATAACAGCCTTGCCAGAGAAGTGGCTGTCCGCATCCCCCTTTCACTGATGGGGCGCTGAGTTGATAAATCATCTGCACAAGACCTCTCTGCTAGTAAATGGTAAGGCTAGAGTTTGCATTGGGCAATGGGATGTAGAGTCCTTGCTCTTAACCTGTTTGCAGCACTGCTTGCCAAAGAGAGCATTTCAGAAAGAACAGCGCATAGTGAAGAAAGCAGCCCTCACCATCTGGGGTGGGTGTGGAGGCCAGGGAAAATTTGCTCCTTCAAAGGAACCAAAGCAAATATTCTAATATGCGGAATTCATATGCAGTCCAGGAAAGGGCAGGGGGAGCAAAGGGTGCTGAAGCGAGGCTAGCAGTGTGATGTGCTGTCATATGGAGAGGGAGGTTCTGTGTTTGGGGCAAGCTCACTGGAGGAAATGTCCTGTGCCGAGCAGAGGAGTTCGTAGTCTGTGGTCTGGGCATGAAGAGCAGGGAGGTTAGTCTAGGGGATGAGGTGGGGATCAGCGGGAGGGGCTTGAGACCCCTGAGGGCAGCCAAGAGACCACCCACCAATGATGCCCAAGAGGTGCGTTCTCATAGATGAGGTACAGTACAAACCACACATGTGGTTTCCTTTCTTTCCAGAGGCTACATGCAGCGCGGTTCTCGAAGGCCACTCGCTGGCTTCAACCACCTGCTGGTCACCAGTATCGAGTGGCTGATTCCCCCTTTGCATTTGCCAGCATCCCAAATAATAGGGCTGGAACCATATGAAACTCATCCTGAGGTTGACTCCTAGGGTGAGAATTTATTCAGAGG